AGCTGGGCAGGTTGTTTCTCAGGAGATAGGAAATACTCTCAAAAAAGGGGCATAAAAAATAATGGAGTTTGTTATTATGGTAGAATTTTGTGGATTTATTCAACTGAACAAAGTGACAAGAAAAATTTGTAAAATACCAAAACATATCCCATGTCAAAATGCTCTAAGAAACTCTATGTTTTGCTTGAGGGCAAACAAAATGTTTTGAACTGACTGTAAGCAAAATCTCTGTTTTACTTAATCTTCTCTTCAGAAAAGTCTATTTCAGTTTAATTCAAGCCAGGTTTTCTCCTCTTGGCTTTTGATTTGGCCACTGTGGAGAAAGAAGCCATTATCCTGTGAACTCTGTGCATACACACAGACTGGACTCACCGCTAACCACCTGAAGGCTTTGAGACGAGGCAAATGGCTGGAGAGAAAACTTAAGCTTTACAAGCTCAATTCTGTGTTTCATAGTTTAGAGAAAGAGGAAGAAAATCAATTGTCTAAAGTTTAATGACTGTGTTTCTGAAGCCCTAATGAATTCAGGGCTATGTGGAGCAAGTGTTCTTGCTGTGCTGTACAGGATGCAGTGTCAGAAGCAAAATTACTTTTTTAATTAGAAAAGGTAAAGCTGAGAGGATCAGGGAACAGCTTTTACAGTGATGTCAGCCTTTAGTAGTGTTGTGTTAGAGTTATGTTATGTAAAAATAAGTACAGAGACCTCCATCCTTGAGGACACAGACAGGGTGTGCAGCAGCTCAGTCCATCTGCAGACCAGATCATGAGCAAGTGCAAAAATACTCATGATTACCTTTTACAGAGGACTCTCTAATCCATTGATCTTGAAGCATTTTACTGGGAGGTCAGTCCCAGAGGGCTGGTTCCATTTTAAGAAGGAGAATTAAACCCAGAGAATGATGGAAAGACCTGGAACAGTAGAGCAATGCCAGGGGGAAGAAGGAAGTCTAGGATGCCCAATTCCAGTGGCTAACCTTTTAGTCCATTTCCTCTCCTCTGTCTGCTAACCTTTAGGGCTATGGAAAAGCAGTACAGAGGAAACTGCTGCATTAGTAGGACAGCAGCCTATCTTTATCTAAAGTTATAAGAGTGGTCCAGTATCAAAGATTGCTGTGTGACAGCCTGTTGAATTGTGATTTATTGTCTTTGGATGACAGTTATCCAAGTTCTGTGTGATAAAATACTGATTTTCAGTGTTTTGGTCTGCAAATGAGATGTCCACTAATAGAACTTTGGTTTTTTATCTGTTTAGAAACCAGTTTCATTAGGTAATACAAATAGTGTATATATGTTACAAAAGCTTAGAGTGGTTTGCTTTACCATCTAATTCCAAAAATTGTCTGTTTCAGTTTTAATTATTGTTGTGAGTGAAATCTGGTATTGGCAGTTCCTGGCAGGGCTCTGAAAGGACCAAGATACCATGAAATGATTGCAGTAGTTTTGTCAGAGAATATTAGAAAGAAAAGAGTTCAGCCCAAGAGTTTTTGCAGTGCCTTCACTAGGGTGATTAAATGTTCCCTGAGAGTAATTCTCCTAACACAGGTACAGGAGGCTATAGCTGGGTCAGCATCACACCCCTTGCCCCAGCCTCTGTGTCCAGAGGAAGGGAGGCACTGAAACCTGCTCTGCCTCCCCAGAAAATGGGGGCTGGGAGATCCTGGGGAAGGCATGACAAAAGAATCACTTGCCTCAGACGGGTACAAGAATTCTTTAGAAGAAATGCGCAAGCAAAGTTGCCAGGGCTGGCAGAACTAAGCTGCACACATAGCTATTTCAGTGCAGGTCAGGCTGCCCTGGGTGCTGCTTAGTTACACTGCTGGTCACCCTAGAAGTGCTGTCAGTCAGGATTTGAGGACAGAAACAGAAATGTTTTCAAAAGCACTGTGTTACTGGCTGCTTTACTGTACATCTACAGGTGTGTGTTGTGAAGGCAAGAACAAGTCAGCATGGCTTAATCAGCACTTAGGCAGCATGTCAGCTCCAACCTGCAAGCACTCTCCACTCCAACAGAAAGACATTTCCAACAGCTGAAGTTATTAGCATTGTGCAGTGCTCACAGGAAATGTTCTGTGGCTTTGGGCTATAGGGCTTGAACTTTCTGTCACAGAGTTCTGTCAGAACAAGTTTTGCTGCCAATACATTTCGGCTTGTAAACACTGAAATCTTACTGTGTTTCAGGGGTGGGCTCCTTAGCACTAAACCCTGTTGTTATGTGGGGAACAGAGTCGTTCAAACAGACAAAATTTAAAAAAAAAATACCAGAGCCACTGACCTTGACTGATTACCTTACCCAATGCTGCACCCATGTACCTGATTCTGGCTGATTTCAGAAGGAATCAAAGCTCAAATCCTGGAAAAGGATCCAAGACTAAGGCTCCTAAATTAGTCAGACACTTTGAAAATATTACCCCTTAGCCTTTAGACTGCTTAATATAATTTTCACAAAGCTGCTCATAGCACACAGTGGGATTGAAGTAATTAAAATATCATGGCACACCACACTGGCAGTAAGATGTAGTCTCTCAGATCATGTTATTCATAAATAACTTAAGAGGACTATAAAGTGAGTGATTATTAAATAGCACTGAGACTTATGTGAAAGGTGTCCCTACCCACAGTTGGAACTAGATGATCTTTAAGGTCCCTTCCAACCGAAATCATTCTATGATTCCACATAGTCCAGATAATGGCCACAATTGCATTCCTTCATTACGCAAAACATGCCTGCATTTACAAGAAGAAAGGCCAAAAAGATAACACAACTATACAGTTGTTTCCAAGGGTCCAAATCACTAGTGTTGCTTTGTTACCTAATGGTGTTTGTTTTCCAGTTAAAGATGCTTTTTGAGACATTTCTCTTCCATAGGTTTCTGGGGGCTTGTCAACAATGCAGGAATATCAACATTTGGCGAGACAGGGTGGCTGTCTATGGAGACATATGAAAAATTTGCAGATGTGAATCTCCTTGGGAGCATCAGGACAACCCTGGCATTTCTTCCCCTTCTAAGGAAATACAAGGGTAATGCTAATCCACTGTTATTTAGAGCTGTAGAATAATTAGCTTACTATAATCAGGGTAATATAGAATTTATAAAAGAGGCTTTAATTGTCGCTCATTGAATTGAAATGACAGCCTCCTTCTGTGTGGCCTCAAAGAGCAACTTGCTTCTGAAAAGAGGGTAAAGTCATAAGGGGGAAATATCCTTAAAAATTCTGTCTTTGTAATACATAGAACAAGTATTTGCAAAGAAGGACTTATCTCAGTGTTTGACTCAAAAAAGAGAGGACAAATGTTTACAGTAGATCATGAAGCCCAGGCAAGTCTTTGTAAGCACTAACAATCAGAAAACACAAAGATCCAATAACCTGTGTAATTTTATTATTTAGGCTTTACTAATTTACTGTTTGGCAATTAGGAGAGGAAGGATGACCCTACAGAGGTGAACTAGAGACATCCAGCTTCCAGTACCAGGTCTAGCAAGATCCTCTTTATGACCTGGGCAGGAAACTTCAAGTATGTGAAACAGTGCTGTACAGAGACACACGGGTATGCAGTGGGAACAATGCTTTTGCATGGACCTTCACACACATGAGCTTTATCCTTTCTTCTGAGAAATGGTTCAAGCTCTCTACAGCATGGCAGCACGTCTCAATTGCTTTACAGTTTGTTCCCTACCTGTCTCCATCTGAATTTGGTAAAGAAGATACCCTTGTCCTTTCTCCCCCAGTTGCTCAGCTTGCCTGTGTCAGTTGTATGCTCTTTAAGGGGGGAAGGGCTAGGTGTCATCTGGAAGCCTCAGATGTCACTACTACATAAACTGTTGTTAAGATAAAGGCACCCTTTTTTTTTGGCTGCTCTGCTTCTTTCTGCTTGATTGCCTTTGGCTGATGATACTCTGACACAAGATAAAAAGAAACCTTTAAATACCATGAGCTGGATGTGTTCTTGTAACAGAATGTGCTATTGCATGTACCCAGTGAGCGTGTTATGTGGCCATTACACAGGGAGACAGCCCTTTTTTTTCTTGTGATGTCCTACTTCCTGCTAAAACTCTGTGATGCTGATCCACCAGAGGATTTCTCTGACTTCATGAATTGTAAGGGGTTACTTTGAAGTGAGAGGGACTGTGTATATGATATTAAGCCCATGCATAAACTTTTAGAAGGTTTGGGTCTGGTTGGCTGCACATACATAGCACCTCAGCTTAAAGGTGCACTCTGCATCTCACTCCTGGCTGCCTTGATTATCTGCCTGCACTCCATTTTCAAGTACCATCTATGCAGAAGAGGCTAGGGCACTTCTAGGAAGAATCCTAGGTTTCCCATCTCCCTTGCAGGAACAGTCAGGACAGCTAAAGTTTATGTCTTTGGGGGCTGCAAGTGACCTCTCAAAATTAAAAGCTTGAATTATGGATGTTAGAGCATTCTCCTGGGAAGACTGGGTTTCAATTACCATAGGCAAAGAGAGAAGTTAAATGATGTGTCCCACATCCTGGATGTGTGCCTCAAATCACTTGTCTACTGGACAAAGGAGGCAGAGGTCATCCTACCATCACTCACCCAGTAGCTGTGTTCTGAAGGGAAGGGACTTACTGACCTTTTAGGATGGGCAGCTGTTCCAAGAAAAACTTAAAGATTATTAGCACTTGTAAAGGGAGGTGTTGCCCTCCAGCCTGGAACTTAAGCATTCTACCCTGAGAGGAGCAACATATCTTTCACCATATCTTTTCCAGGAGGATTTTTGTGTGAAGTTCTCTGCTTAACAGAGCTGAGTGCACTTCTGTGCAGGACTGCACACTTACATGGCCCAGCTGTGGCATACTGTGCAGTAAACTAGCCTCATGCTGAACACCACATTAGTAGCAGCTCAGATGACTGAGGTAAATCAATTCTATGTTAAAGACTGAGAGTGAAGTTACATTATTTGCACTGTTTTCTTTTCAGGACGTATTGTTTTCATGTCCAGCATCATTGCCTATTTTAGTGTGGGAAATGGCATTTATTCTATGACCAAGGCAGCTATTGAAAAATTTTGTGATGCTCTAAGACTGGAAATGAAGAAGTTTGGTGTCCAGGTGAGTGATGTAATGAGTACCTGTCGTGTGAATCTCCATACTATTTCTAATGTTGATTTTCATATGAGAAAGAGAGAAAATTCACTCCTGAAACTTCCTACAGAGCTGAAATGCATCTTTTTGTGAGGAAAGAAGCAAGTGACTTGCACAAATAATCCAAGATGGATGTGTGTGGGTGTTGTGGTTTAACCCCATCTGGTGACTCAGCACCACACAGCTGCTCGCTCACTCCCCCCAGCAGGATGGGGAGAGAATGGGAAGGGTAGAAGTGAGAAAACTCTGGGGCTGAGATAAAGACAGTTTTACAGGTAAAGCCAAAGGTGCATGCATAAGCAAAGCAAAACAAGAAATTATTCACCACTTCCCATGGGCAGACAGGTGATCAGCCATCTCCAGGACAGCAGGGCTCCTTCATGTGTAACTGGCTACTTGGGAAGAAAAACGCCATCCCTCCAAATGCCCCCTCTTCCCATTTTTCCTTCTTCCCCTACTTTACATACTGAGCATGATGCCATGTGGTCTGGAATATCCCTTGGTTCACTTGTGTCATCTGTCCCAGCTCTGTCCCCCCCCCAACTCCACATGCATCCACAGCCTACTCACTGGTGGGGTGGTGCGAGAAGTAGAAAAGACCTAGACTGTGTGTAAGCACTGCTCAGTAGTAAAACAGAAACATCTCTGTATTATCAATACTGTTTCCAACACAAATCCAAAACACAGCCCCGTACCAGCTACTATGAAGAAAATTACCTCTATCCCAGCCAAAACCAGCACAACATGGAAATTCTGGTCAATGGAACAAGTGTATGCAAAATAGTATCCAATTTTATGCAAAGTAAGCTCCATGCTTCCAAAGTGACAAAGATAAAAGATCAGAGCTGAATCCATGGGTGCACCTTCCCTTTGGAAAGAGGTTTCTCTGTGGCTAATCAGTCAGTTGGAAATCACTGAGAACAGCAGACCTGGGTGATGTTTCCAGTTCTGAGAAGCTGTAGGTTTGTGCCAACACTGAAACTTCCACCCTTTCTCCACATCCTCTTCTGGAGAAACTTTCCAAGTCAGGCCTGCTCTCCACAGAGAGCTTGTAATAGCACTGAGTAACTGAAATGTTCCTGGGGTGGCTGTGGGAGCCAAAAGCCCAGACACCAAGTGCTGTGCAGTAAGAAGGAAGCTTGGCACTTACCTGAGGGGTTCTTTTTTCTCTTACAACATCAGTGCTTAAAAGCTCCTTCCTTTTTGTGAGAACAGCTACACTGCAACAGGCATTATAGTGCAGAGTAATTATGTTTTTATTCTCTTAACCTAAGAGGCTCTTAGAGTGCTCTCAGTGCCCTGTCTAAGCAACACTGATAGTCAAACCTAAAGCTGAGATCACTAAGTAGCTTCACTAGGCTTTTTCCTTGGAGTCATTCTACTGCTCAAACACTCTTCTCAAACACTAGAAGTTTTCCCTGAGGGTTTACCTTTGTGTACTCTTTACACACACAGATTTACAGCATTATTCATAAGCTTTGTGTGGGAAAAATTGCAGCTATGCATCTATTAAGTACTCCTGTGGGATAAATATAAAATGCTATAAAATGCAAGTGACTTTACACATCCTAATACCACACAGCATGATGAGGATTTCAACTGATTAGCTGAGGATAATCTCAAATGCATGGAAGAGCTTAGTTTAACAGGTTAGCTAGTCTGGTCATTTTGGGATTTTTACTGTTCCCCACCAGAATAGCCCCAGCACACAGTAGAGTGAGCCAGGCTGACAAACATCTCCAGAAGATCTATGAGAGTTATTTTTCTGTTTCTCACTGTATGCAAGATGCTGGCTGGTGTTTGCCTGAGAACCTACCCTGTGGAAAGCCTTCAAAATACAGTCCTGTCCTCCCTTCTCCTGCTGTGTTGTCTCCTCTGTCCTTTCAGGAGAAAGCTGCACAGAGGTGGCAAGGAACAGATGGAGCTATGGCTCTGTCCCACTGAACTCTGGCCAGGCAAGCTGGCTGCCTAAAGGAAACAAAGTACATGCCTTCTATTAGAAAGGCTACAGAAAATCAAGGAAGGGAAAAAAATTATCATCTCTTCTAGCCAACTCCCAAAACCTCCAAATCAGGAAGTTTTCAAAACCCCTTTGCTAACATTAAATGTGGGAAGTTTGCTATTGGCATTAGTTTGGCTGATACCAAACACTTTTGTGCATAGCACCCAAAGGTAGGGCTCCCATAGATGCCCTGTGACAAACATACCTGAGGCAGCATAAGTTATGCCTATCAGTGCACACCATCTCTCTGCTGAGGTTTGCCTGCATCTCTTCCTGACCCCTGTGTGTAGCCTCTGCACCAGCCCCTCTGGTACACAGCGCTCCGATCACCATGTGGGCTGAGGGTCAGGGCCATGCCAGCACTGACACACATTTGGGAACTCTGGGAGATGGGCTGGGTGGCAGATTGGAGACATTAAGATTTTATGTCATCACAGACTTTCCAGAGAATGCCTGTCACATCCCCAAATCTCTAACACAGCTCAGTGCTGTTCTTCCTCACCTTGTGTTAGTCTTTTAAGAAATCAGGTCAGTTAAATGCCAGGAAGCTTTTAATGTTGCATATCTACAAACAGTTTGAACAAGGCTGCCTCTAACTGAGGAGAAACGTGTATACTGTGAGTGCTCAGCCTGCTCCAGAATTCCCCAGAAGCCTCAGAAGGCAGCAGAAGAGCAATAACTACACACACGAACAAAACAGGTGAAACAGCAAAGGACTCATGTGCTTTCAATTTAAATCTGCATGAATCTACAGAAATTTGCTAATGACTTCAGTGAGAGGCAGACCAGGACCTTTGGTCCGCTTTGTACTTGGCTGACAAGACCTAGTTTACTTTTAATTACACCTACTTGGGGAAAATAGCTCTTATCTTCTCAGGACCTTCTAATTTTCCTTGATGCCTCCTTTTGTACCAAACTGGGTGAAAAAAGTTCCCAATTGCAAGATTCTCCACTGAGTGAAAAGTCCAAAATATTCCCCTTTGGAGACATATAAGTCATGTTGAAACACTTTGTCTCAGTATTGTCAAAACATTTATACCATTAAACATTCTATAAAAATCAAAGATGTACTATTGCATCCTGTGAGGGCATGCTGAGTAGCCAAAACAAGAACATTAACATCAGAGAAAAATGAGGAAGTCAGAATAAAGCACCTCTGCAATCTTACACTTTTGATGGGAATATATTTGATTCCAGTCAAGTTTCCAAGGTTAAAATTACAATGAAGTAGCATTTTCTGGAAGAAACCTGTCTGCAGAGAGCTTATGATCTGTTTTACTGACTATAGCATTTAACTGAATTCACAATGACTGATTGCATCTTGCTAAGTTTTACATCTTGCTTTCAGGTCTGTATTATTCAGCCAGGAAATTATGCACGCTCCACGAATATCCAGCCACTGGTCAGTGCTGAAGAGATCTGGAGTGAACTCAGTGAAGAGGAAAAGGCTGTTTACAGTAAGGAGTATGTTCAAGAGAGGGCAAACTTTTTCAACAGCATTCTCAGTGAAGGAAGCACTAATGGCAATGAGGTGGTAGATGCTATGGTAGATGCATTAATGTCTCCTGCACCCAAGGCACGTTACATGGTGGCAAAGCTGAAGGAAAAGGCACTTGTGTTTCTGTGTGCTTTATTCCCAACTGTTGTGATGGATTCCATTTTGTCTTATGCTCTGAGTAAAGTAAAACTTGCATAGCCTATGTTGGAACCAACCACTGACTCAGGTGAGGCAGCTTTTAAAATGTGAAAGTCGGAGCTGAATCTAATGCCCTCATGTATCAGTGTAATGACACTGATTAACCGATACAAACTTTGGAGGGTCTTCCTAATCAGAACTGTCACTGATCCATAGGGAAAAATGTACAGGTCCCCATGCAAAATTAAATAATTTGTTTAGACAAGTTTCTCCTGTGTGGAAAAAAAGATACAGCCACTTACGCTGCTTTAGGCATTCCCTATAAAATCTAATGCAGCTTTTTCTAATGCAATAGCAGGTTACTGTGTTACAGACATGATACACACAAAATAGAGCACATCCTAATGGGCAACTGTATACCTGAAATCATTACAGCAGAGATGAAAATACCTTATTTGTAGCAATTGAGCAGTCCTTTATTTAGGGGTGATAGGAACAGGTTAATGGAGAAGTTAGGAATGAGCATATTGAAATACTTTGAATGGAGTTAAGTGGCTGTAGCAAGTTAGGAAGTGTGGAAGCTCTGAGCAACCTAGTGTAGTGGAAGGTGTCCCTGCCCATGGCAGGGGGTTGGAACTGGGTGATCTTTAAGGTCCCTTCCAACCTAAACCATTCTGTGAGTCTATGGATAATAAAGTTGTAATGTGGAAATAGTGTCTTGACTAACTACAGTTCAGTCCTTTTTCAGGTGTTTTGGATAAATCTGTAACAAAACCAATATATCACAGACCCCAGAAAATAAGTATCAAATTCAATTTATAAATGAGTATTCAATCCTAAATAAACTCTGTTTTTTATCTAATGTCTGGATTGATCAATGCATTAACTGAAGGTGTAAGCAGAGAGCAAAACACCAAGGTGACACATATCAGTATCCTGGGAGCTCAGAAAGAACATATTCAGCCTGGAGCTCTGGTTTTGCTACTATTTTAAGGAATAAGGTCTGATGAAAAAGAATCTATTAACATGAACAGGAAAAGTTTAGTAACAGTTATCTATGAGCACAGTGGCTTCATTAACAGTCTCCTACTGACTGATGTGGAAAAGATTGTTGGTTTATACCTACACAGTTTTAAATTTGGCTTGATTGTGGCATGGCACAAAATCCAAGAACTCTGGGACCAAAAGATCCCAGAATAGCTGAGACCAGCTGTAGTGACACTTGTCGATGCAGGGCAGCACCACGGAGCATTAGCCTCTCCCATGCCCATATCTCCCATATCAAACCAAAACTCTGCTGTAAGTTGCCACAGTTAACTTTTTGGTCTGAATCATATTGCATCCTGTACCTGGGAAGTCTTTCCTAATATATTTAATTAATTACTGAAAAAACCTATGCTCTCTCATGGTGAATAATTGGGCAGTCTGAGTTAGGAACATAGGCAAGATGAGCAAACAGACTGACTATTCCAGTTTTTTTCCTGAAACACTCAGCAGTGGAACAGCCATCTTACTGCACCTGTTGGAGATTGTGGAACATGCCACTTCTCTTTCCAAATGCTGGACCACCCCTGAAGCTGGCATTGCCAAGAGGACAAGCCTGGGCTCCCACCTGTTCCACAGCCCATCAACAACAAGATAATCAGATGATTATCATCCCTTTCCTCATTTAACCACAACTGAGCAAGGCCAAGCAAGGGAATAGGAACAAGGCTTACTCTAACTGAACCAATCGATTTCTTGTATAGGAATTCCCCCTGCTTGACCTCAGGGATTTCAGCAGCCTTACATTGCTTTGGAAGCATTGCTTTCATGCTCTTAGCCATTCTTTGTGCAGATTACCCTTCCTCACAGTAAGCAGCACTGAACTCAACAAGCAGCTTTGAAACCCAGTTGTTTCTCCATCAGGGCCAGGGTCCATGTGCTTCTCTCTGCCTCAAAAACAATGTCACTTTCCATTACACTGTCTCCCTTCTATTTGCATGTCTAAAAGCTACTGCAGTAAGTTGCTGAGAGCCAACACCATCAGATCTGCCTCAACACCACCAGATCTGCCTCACGGACAAGAAATAACTTTCAGCTGAAAATTCCTCCCTTACTTGCTGTGTACAGGAAGAAGCATGTGATCAGTATTTCAGTAGCCTCATGTAACATCAGAAGAGCAATACTCCAGAACATTTATTCCTTCACCTTGAAAACTAAGAGCTTGCAGTGCATATGATCCTCAACAGGGTACAGTGACAGGATGGATGAGAACAGATGGGACAAAAGAAGGCAGTCTGTATTTTCATTGCTGCCTAAACTATTGGTGTAGAAGCTAACTGAAAACTAGCTACAAAATTATTATCATTCTTCCTGCTCCTCAGCTTTTTAATATTACAATCTGCATATAAAGGACTAATCAAGAGAGAGTCGGTTATGGACAGAGCATCCCACTGAAAGTCATCTGGAATCCTCCCACTGAATTATATGTGTTCCAAGGCATAGCATTAGACAAGTAAATGGGGGGGGGGGGAAGGAAAGGAGGAGATTTTTAACTGGGCTTAATGGGGAAGAGACCTTCATAAAAATTAGTGATGGAAGGGGTGCAGCACTCCTTCCTCCACAGGTCTTGTAGGCTACAGAGGTTACAGGATTAGTAACAGAAGGTTTTAGTGAACAAACCTTGCTAACAAGTCAGTGACAAACTCTGAGGACCACCAGAGCTCTCAGATCTTCAGCCGAACTCCTGCCCCACGACCACCAGAGCTCTCAGATCTTCAGCCTAACTCCTGCCCCAGTACGTGGCACTGGAAGGCTTACCTGACTCTAGGGATCCCAGCCCTCACCCTGGCCCATGTGGTACTTGGGAAGCATATGCTGGGAAGTGCACTATTGCTGGATTGCCCTACCATCTCTTGTTACTTTGCCACATCATTGGGCAAGGAGTGCCTCCCTCTTACCCAGTAACCCTGAAATCACCTTTATCTCGTTAAGTTGAAGTGCAGAGGCACACAAGAGGCCTCTATTTACACTGTCTGAAATAAGAAACAGTGTTTTAGGACTAACATAGGTGACAAAAATAAAAGAGGAAAAAAATCCCAACAAACCTCTATTGACATGACTCAAATCTGAAATGCCTCTCTCCCAAAACCCAGCTAACCTACTGCAGACCCTCTTCTGGGATTGTTTTCCTATAGGGTTCATCTCAGCCCGTCCAAGGGAGAACTTCTTGACAGAACATCTTAGTTTTTACCACTGCTTGTCTTTGTAAGTCCTACTGATGATTTGGAAAAAAATTAATTTTCCCCTTGAAAACAACCACCCCGAAAGGGGCACAGCTTTCCTCTCAAGTTTCTTCTCCAAGGACACAATATCAGGGACCTAACAGTTGTGTCATGAATCTTCTCTTATGCAAGGGCTTGTTCCTAAGAGTGCACATTAACTGGTAGAATGAATGAGCATCATTTCTGACAGTAAGCAGTTATATAAAGAGTATAAGAAGAGCAAAAAAGTTAAGCTAAATCGGTTTACTAAGTTGTGCATTGATCTGAGTGATATTAACAGCTTCATACAGTGGCATCAAAACCAGAAACAGAGCAGAGCCCAGAAAGACACATATAACACAAGGAGTAGAAGGGTAGTACCTACCAGCACAGTTTTGAGGTGGCTATGCTGCTGCATGAAACAAAGATCATCTCCAGAAGTTTCTTGTTCTTTCCAAAAGGGCATAATTTCCCTAACTTGAGAGGGTGCAGTTGGAGCAATGCCGCCATGACAGCTCGCTGGCCCAGAGCCACTGTTCCAGTGGGAAGAAGAGATGTACACCTGAACTTATGGTCAGTGTTGCTGTGGACATCATCACCAGTTAGACACACTCACCTTGAGCAGCTGCACTTTACTGCCACTGCAGTGCTATGGATGAACTAGGCAGGGAAGTTTATCCATGCTTAGCAATAGTAACACCCTGATTTCATCTCATGCACTCTCAGTGTAACTCACAGCAAGTTGAAACAGTGCAGATGACCTTCAGAATTAGCCCAATGTGTAAATTTGTGTCATTCTCCCAAGCTGGCAAATCTGAACAAGGAGATTTTGGGTGGAATGCACCACACAGCAGATTTTTTTGCAGTAGCATCAGAATCCAGAGGGATGAATAACAGTGATAATTACTTGCACAGTAGAAAGGATTAAGTAAAAACCATGCAACCCTCAAGCACACCTTCCAGCTGAAGTCAGGGTATCATCTAGCCCAGCTCCCACTGATGTCAGCAGAATTCCACTGCCAACCAGCACAAGAGTCCTCGTGGTGCACAGCCTCCCTCCAGAGGTCAGTTGTGGGACGTTTGTAGCAGCCTGGTGCTTTTACATCCACAGACAAAAAGCAGCACAATACAAAGACAGCAAGTGTAACAGAGGATGACAGTTATATTTTTCCACTTGTACCATGAAGGGACTTTGTAGTGCTGTCAGCCCAACACCTTCTGCTAGCACCAAACAAAACTTCACAGCCTTTGTATTTCAAATACTTGGAAGCACCTGTTCAGCAGTGAAATGTTTTCCTGTGTAATTAGACCATTTTGGAGCTGTGAGCATATTGGTAACGGGGGCTTTACCTGTCATGATGAAGCATGTATATTGCAGTAGCAACTGAGGTTAATATTTAAGGGTGTGTAAAACAAGGGGAAAATATATATGTTCCACAGTAATAAATGTTTTTTGGAATAATCTTGATTAGGAAACTATTTGCTACTGATTATCTCATTATCAGATGATGACACAGTGGGCAAAACCGATCTGTTATGGGCTTCAGAGATTGTACTCATCCAGGTAAGCATGAAGCCAGTGGAGCACCTGTCAGCCTCCAGCACAGAGCAGACTCAAGGCCACACTAATTCATACCACATCAGACCTCTGGGCAGCACTGCCCTCAGATGAAGTCTCAGGTAGTTCACAGACACCTGATCTGTACCAAACCACATGGACACTGTGTCCTGATTTGTGCTGTGACATGTTTCCCAGGTTTGGCTCTGGGAGCTGTGCCCTCTAGGGTAGGTTCAAAGCTCCGGACAGTTTACCTTTCTTTCCTGGGTTCAGTCAGTTCAGCTGTTACCAGCATTCCTGCGTTAGCTTGGCACTCCTCCATAACTGAGTTGTCAGCCCAAAGGAGACCAACAGCTTGAGGCTTCAAACTTTGGAATTATTTTTTCTGGTGAGCTTTATTTATCACTGCCTTTAGGCAGTGAATACTGTGAGTTTGTCTAATAGGATTTTGATCGTATTTATTTTGGAGATGTTGCAGTACCCTAATACCAGAGCAGCATCCAGCAAGGCAGAGATGCTCTGCTCTTGAAGCCATATCATTTTGAAAAGTGCAACATGATGTTCAGCTGCTGAAA